CTCCCCTCCTTCACATGAACAGAAATCTCAGGGTACATCTGCAAACTCCATCCACTCCCAGGGTCCAAGCACTGCAGGGTAAAGCAAAGCTGGTGGGGAGGGGGTGTGTGAAAGCAGCTCCCATCCCACCTCACTTTAGGATTACCCCTTCCCAAAATATGTGTCCTACCTCTTGTAAATATCTTAATGCCACCATCGGTGACAGCCCAGCGCTGCCCCTCCATTGGCACCGAGATGTGCAGTACCCCTCGATGCAAACGGGCACGGGGACGATGAGCCTCCCTCTGCCCCTGCCCAGCTCCCCTGAGCCCCCCACCAGCCAGGCCAGCCTCATCGACTATGTTTTCTCTTTATTGTTCGATATATTTATGTACCACATTATATGTTAAAGATAGATTTCTTTTTCTGATATACATTTTTCATCTTATTTACCACAATGACACCACACGTACATTGGAAACAGCTCCACGGATCTGGTAGATTGCACAGAATGAATTGTGTCGTAGTTTTGTTCCTGTATCCTGAACGACGTCAAATCCAACAATATTTTTTTTTTTAACTTTTCATAATTTAGAAATAACAATTGTTAAAATGAAACAAAATAAAAGTCACCAAGAAGTGGACTCCATGTCTGCGATTTCAACCAGCGGCAAAATATTGTAATTGTTGGGAAGCGCCGTTCCTCAGTGTGAATTCAGATGGAAGAATTACGCAGTCCTGACATCTATGTGACTACGGTGTAAACATTGCAGGTAACTGGCATCGCTGGTCATCGGCCGCTGCTTGGGCTGGTCGTACAATCTAGGTCTCGTCTACATCCACCTCACACAGTGTAAAACAAAGGTCCCTGCTCCCAGCACCCGCGGCTGGTTTGCTTCCGTTTGTGAGCGCAGTAACCCAATCCTGTGGGATCGGCACCTGTGTTTCAGCTCCTGAAACACTGAATTGCATATCTGTAAGGAGTATTGAAAACTGCGACTGTTTCCCAACAGGTCATTCATGGGGGGCCAAGCTTCAGGCAACAAGTGCGGAGATAGGGGTGGGGCACCAGATAATTTTCTTCAAAAAATTATAAATAACAAAAAATATATTTAAATCTTAGCTTATTTAAAAAGACAGCAGGGCGAACACTTTCTTCTCTTCTTATTTCCTTTAATTTGCAGATTCTATGACATAGATTTAGTTGGATGCACGTAACGAAAATAATGACTCTTTCCATTAAAGGGATGCAGAATTATTTGGCTATGCAGATGTTCGATGTAATTCTCTTACTGCAACCGACTCTGGCCCCTCCTTAGTCTTCAGCGTTGGTTCTGAAGGCCTCTATGAGGCCTTCTAAAGAGTGGATGAACCCAGAGACGCTGCAGATACCACCTATAACAAAAATGGCGACATCAAAGAAGACGTGGTGCCACAAAAGCTTCCTCCACAAGAGTTTGAGGTGGAAAAGACTGGGGAGCAGGAAACAGAGCCCTGCGCCTGTGAGGCTCCCAGTAAGACCCATCAAGAGGGCAAAATGCGGGACATAGATAGCCATGAGCAGGGTGAAAACTACCAGGGCACATCTGAGGGTGAGTCCCCAGGATTTGAGACGCCCGTCACCCCCGTAGCAGTTGGGGAAGAATGCCCTGTTTCCATCTTGGAAAAGGGACCGCTCCAGGACTTCCACAGCCGCAAAGAACGGCAAGGGGTACGAGAGCAAGGCTTTGGCCACCAGGAAAATGTTGACTACTGCCCTAATGGTGGATGGCAAGTTGTCTGTAATGACTTCCTTGGTCTCATCAGCCCAGGTCAGATAGGCAACCAAGGCAAAGAGTCCCTTAAGGATGCAAGCTGCTATGTGAGTCCAGTTCATCATGCAATGAAACTCCTTGGGGTTCTGCATGTTCCCCTCCAAGGAAGGCAGAAAGATCTGAGAGGTGTAGCTGAAGACAATGATGCCAATGGAGATGGGAAATTTCTTTACATCAATGTAAAACTTGACTTTGTCCCAGGCCCAGTCGCGTGCCCTGGAGAGGCAGTAGGCAATCACCAAGATGTTGATCACAAAGTGGGCTAGTGTGCAGAGCAAGCTGAACTTGGAGACTGCCTTGAGGTTCTTCAAGAACGCACAGGGCAGGAGCACTGCCGTGGCAATGATGGACCACGACTTCTGGGAGACGGGCAGGTTGGGGAAGCTGTTGTACATCAGGTTCCCACTGACCACCACATAGAGGATGCAGGTCATGACCAGTTCAATGATCTGAGCCACATTCACAATTCTGCCTCCGAGGGTGGGGAAGCGGGGCGCGCAGCATGCGTTCGCTATGTCCACGTAGGAGTCTCTCACCCTGACTATCTCCCCATCCTCATTCTCTTCATAAAGACAGGCAATAAGGATTTTCCCAGTATAGCAGCAAACCACTGCAGCGAAAATTATTAAAAAGAGTCCTAGGTATCCACCATGAAGAATGGCATAGGGCAGGCCCAGAACAAACATCCCCTAGAAAGAGACAAAATGGAAACCGTGTTGCTTGTCTCATGGAGGGGACGAGGCAGGCGCCCGAACCCAGGCACACGCAGCCGCACAGTCGCAGTCACATGCACGCTCGCTGTCTCGCTTGCACACCATCCACCCCCCCCGCATAATCTCACCCCAGAGCACCCAAAACAAGCGAGCACAGTTTAGGTGCCTGGGCTTTGCCCCAGTCTCTCTACCCTCTCTGTCCCCAGACCCTCTCAGTGCACCAAGACCCCAGAGCCAAGGACCCCTGGAGGGGCCAGACTGGGCCCACCCTGGAGCAGCCTCTCTTTCTTTTTTCTGTTTTTCTTTTTATTTCCCCTATTTTTGTCTTTCTTTTTTTTCCCCTTTTTTCTTTTATTCTCTTTCTTTTTTCTATTTTTCTCTGTTTCCCCTATTTTTTCTTTCTTCCCCTCCTTTTTTCTTTTTTTTTCTCTTTCTGTTTTTCTCTATCTTCCCCTTTTTTCCTTTCTCCCCCCCCCCTTTTTATCTTTCTTTTTTCTTTTTTTCTCTCTTCCCCCTTTTTTTTCTTCCCCCTTTTTTTCTCTTTCTTTTTCCTATTTTTCTCTCTTTTCCCTATTTTTCTCTCTTTTTTTCCCCATTTTGTCTTTTTTTTTTTTTTCT